GTTATAAATAGTAAAAAAAAAGGCAACAATTAATATAAATTTACACATTGACAAATTTACAAGGTTATATCTCTGCATTATTGTCTGTTCAAACATTTCTAATCAGCACATGGAAAATTTTAAATTAGTACATTTCATAAGACAGTATATTCTTTCAGTAAAAATAACTTTTGTTCAAAAGAAACCATATTTATATGTAAAAACTGTACTTTTAAAAACCACGGCAGCTAAATGAGTCTGGTCATTTCTGCTGCCTGCTGGAAAGCTGTTGGACAAACATTTAGCAAACACTCTAAATGTCCTTAAAATTCTCATCACAGATATAATTCAGGTCAGGTGTAMCAAACAAATATCAAAAGTGTACCGCAAACATAAATAAAAAAATCACAAATCAAATTTCAGTAAAGATTCCGGATCTATCAAGTCCAAAACTCTCCTGCAAAGTGTACAAAATATAAACTAAGTTAATTATTTTGATACTAAAAAGGTAAATTGKGTATTTGGGGAAAATAATATTAATATTAGAGCTATTTAAACAATTAACGTGCACATATAATAATATAGCTGCTAGTTTATAATAAACGATTCAAAGTCTATAAAATAAAAGCTTTGCAATTCAAGCTATTTTATTACAACGTACACAACAAAATATTTGTTTTGCGAAAGGATTTTCCTCTTTATTGCATTTTTGTAAAATCGAAGTCAAATGTGTGTTTTGCGATAATAAATGTGTTTTCGCTTAAACAAGTGTGTACATTAGAGTGCTGAGATACTGTAATTGATGTGGGATGGCAGTGCACCTTGTTGCATTCCCGTTATGAAATTTAGATGAATTAACAGGATTGGGATGAGTCCATTTGGGGGGACAGCTGCTCCAGTAAATCACAGCAAGAAGTCAATTAGCTCCCTCCATCAGCCATATGAAGGCGAGCTCCAAGTGCAGTCACTCAAGGCCCAAATGAGCAAATAATCAACAAATATCTACAGTTTTAATCAAACAATACACACTGTTAAAACTAGGTGAAGTTAACATTAAAATAAAAGCAGATTTGTTTTGGATAAATTACAAACACGATAGAAAATTTCAAGATCGAAGCCGAAGAAATTTAGTCAAATGTTACGTAGTAAAATTTTAAATTACGAAAAATGTAAACAATCAAAACAAACATTATTAGTTGCAACGCTTGGAACAAAAAACTGATTTATTGCAGAAATGTTCACCTGTTTAAGTTTAATGCCCGTAAAGTTCTAATTCACTTTCTAAAAAATAAATCATATTAAAAGCGAGCAGATACGCGCAATGATTTCGGAATAGCGACAAAAATTTAAAACAAAAAAAAATCTAACGTTTGAGAATGTTTGAGATCGTTACGGAACAATGGGTTCAATTACAGACCAGAAGCTGCATTTCTGAGCTGCATGTGTGCTCCGAAAGATTTTACGAAAAACTCAAATGAACCGTGCATCTCATTCAAAACAAAATATATATACACATTTCATTTTTATAGCATTTATATAGTGTGGTATCTATGATAGCAAAACAGTGGGAGAAAAAATATATACTTTTATTTGTGTAAATGTGCATCTGGGAAACTAGCAATCCCTTTCTGAGCATTCAAAAATAAAAACACAATAATCCACAATAATATAAATACATGTAAATAAAGCTAAGATGTCTGCTCGGTATAAATTTACATTTACACTTTTGTCCAGGCATTATTGAGTTAACTTCAAGTCCACAAACTTGTCTATGGCACTCTGTGGCCTGAGCCAAGCAAGCATAGTGTGGGCTGCAGGCCAGGCAACATGGACTAAAAAAAAAAMAACATTTCTGCCATAAAAAAAGGGAAAAAATATGCTGTTACAGGCCATTTCATTAAAAGGACATTAATTTGTCATGCATTCAGTTTTTTAATCAAATTATGAAATCAAACTAGCCTTAATGTTGCAGAATCAAGTTACACACAAGCATATAAATGGGAGTTGTTTACCATGAAAAGGGTGAAGGTTATGTTCTGCTCTTTTCCAACAGCATGGGCCTACAGTCAGGGAGGCACGCACACTACAATATTCTGTTATTTTGAAAGTAACGCGCATGCGCCGTCAGAGCAAGATTATGTTATAACCAATGAGCTTTCCAAACGCCCTGTGAGGTCATCCCAGCAGAGATGACTAAATAACCCAAATTATACACACCGCAGTCCTGCAGACTAACCTGCTCAAATGCATCACGTTGCATTAAGGCTCTGCTAAAAAAAATCTGTCATTCCAGCTTTCAATTTGCGTTTTTTGCACAAAGAAACAAATAATCTGTTGAGTGCAAATTGAGTTATTCTGTGCAATTAAATGGAATTACAATTGCAAAATTGAGCCCATTTTATCATAAAATTTAATTAGCTGAATGCATTTGTCCAAATTAAACAAACAAAAGCACATTGGTCAAAACTGCAGCTTTTGTTGCTGCAAAATAAACTTTTTTATCATTAGTCTGAATTAACTTTTTATGTTTTATACAGCAACATGTATTTATTATTATTATTATTATTTATTTTTTAAGATTTGGGCCAAATATCTGAGCTCCTGTTGGGTAAAGAAAAGGAAACAGAAACACCCCGGCAACACGGGAAATAAAAATAAATTGCTCACACTTGTAATGCTGTTTGTTTTTATTATGGCATAAATAATGTATAAAAAAGAGAGAGAAAAGAGTGAAGAAGATGGGGGGGGGGGGAGTTGTGGGGGGTGGGTTTGAAGTCGCCTTTTCATATTTGAAGACTTAATTCATCATTCAGTGAAAAGCCACTATATAGGAAGATGAGCAGCAGTTTTAAATTTAACACTAAAAGCAACAGTTGCTTTACATTTGGCCTCGATGATGACAGCCGCCCCCCCCCCCACCTCCTCTCCACAGCAAGAGCTCAGAGCTGCAACTCAAGAGAGAGAAAAAGAGAGAGAGGAGGAAAAAATAGGTGGTGGGGGAGAGATAAAATGAAATAAAACATTTGTGACTCAGATAAAAACCGTGTCACTTAATCATTTCACAGTGGTGATATGGCTGTAAATACACGCTGCATTTATTTCAGTGGGCCCTCAACGAGCCAGTAAAATATGGAGGAAACTTAACGGGCTGCTTGTCACTTGCAAAAAAAAAAAAAAAAAAGTTCACAAAGGTCGCTATAAATCTGTGCAGATGTGCATGTGCGCCATATTGTGCTGGAGAAGTGTGTGTCTGTGTGTGTGTGTGTTTGTGTGTTCGCGCGCACTGTGTGTGTGTGAGAGAGAGCGAGTGAAAAAAGGAGGGGGGGGGGCAAAACTGTGAGAGGTTTTTTTTTCTGCCTTCGTGGTGAGGCAGGGCGGGAGGGAGAGGCGCGCGCACTTAAACACACACGGAAGAGAAAGCAGCTCATAAGAAGGAAAAAATAAGAGAAAAGATGAACGGAATTTGCTTCATGAGAACTTGTTCAGGTTGAGTTTTTCTTTTTTTTTAAAAAAAAAAAAAGCGCCAAATAAACTAATAAAGCTTTTTGTTGTTGTTGTTTTTAAAGAGCAAACAACTGAATTAACAAGTGCGTAAAAGGCCCAAACATGAGGCAGCTTCAACTGAACTACATCCAAACTTCTAAAGCATGCAGCTCGCCACACGCACACGCACACGCACGGGCCTCAACGTCTTTCTAACAGAAACAACAATAAAAGTAACTCACCTCTTCCATCTACAACTGGGTCTCGGTGAAATGTTCGGAGAGGGAATGCAGGGCGACAAGAAGAACTGATTTTTTTTTTCTTTCTTTTTTTTTTCTTTTTTGGGAGTCCAGATCCCCCCTAAAATTAAAAAAAAAAAAAGAATGTAAGCTCCTTCCTGAGACACAGATTGAGGGAGGTGTGTGTGTGTGTGTGGGGGGGGGGGGTATAGAAGAAGGATGTGAAAAGCTTGGAGTTAAAAAGCGCCGCTTGAAGCTCTCAGCGCGTCTCTGAACTTGATCAGACTCTGTGTCCTGCAGAGAGTCAGCGGCAGCCCTGACAAACTTGCTCAATGGCACGAAATTTTTGGCTGTGCGTAAAAAACAAAAAAAGAAAAAGAAAAAGAAAGAGGGAAGAGAAGGGGGGAAATTCTCAGGATATTACAATTACTGCCATCTTTCTTTCTGGCTTTTATTTTTCTGTCTTACGCCCTGTAGAGCTTTGCTTTGCGCGCGCACACGCACACACACGCGCGCGCGCGCACACACACACACACACAAAAGAAGGAGAAAAAGTCTTTCAAGCGGCTTCAGAAAGCCACATTTTGGAGCTGCGCCAAATATTTTCAAGTTTCCAGCTAATACGAGTCAAACTGATCTTATGAATGAAGAAAATACGAAAACAACTAAAGTTAAATAAAACACACACACACACACACACACACACACACACACACACAACAGGTTCAAACTAAATGTTTTTAGCTGAAAGTTGAAACTATAAACTTCCTGCCTTCGTTCCGTTTTGTTTTTATTTTTTGAAGCCCTTGTTTTGGAGTCTCTTCAGGACTTTCCGAACGCCCAAATAAAGCCCCCCGCCGCCCCCCCGCCCCCCACAAACACACATGTGGGAGAGCCGGAGTGTTCCGTTTTACCTGCAAAATAATGCCCCCGCGAACCAATCAAACGAAGCCAATGATAGGAGCTGCCATCTTCAATCCCGAGCCGTGCCAATCGCCAGAAATCCAGCCAATTAACGCCATCCTCCCTGGTCACGTGTCTGAGCCGTGGCTGAGCGCTGATTGGCCGCCGTAGCACTGCCTCCTGAGTTCATTTATGTTCAGGGAGTGAGTGATTGACTTTATCAGTCCAAGGACATCATCAGCCTGGTAAGGGGGGGAAGTTTGATCCTCTTTCTCACGGATCGCAGTCAACGGGAGTTTTTTTTCCTCCTAACGTAGGATTTTTTCCCCCCATTTTGGCTTGTTTTTTTRTTTTAGGATAACTGTTCCCCCCACACACACACAAAGTGGCAGATCTCAGCGCAGCGCCTGCAGCCCTCGCGCGCTCCGCTAAACTGGATTTTAATCTGATTTTCTGTTTCCTTCCCGACTCCTCCAAGTTTGCTTCGAGCTCATGACGATGCTGCTTGATAGCGGTCCGCAGTTCGCATCGTTAGGAGTGGGGGGCTTCGGGACGCCGCGGCATCACGACATCGGGAACAGAGACCCGAGTCTGGGACTGAACCCCTTCTCCGAGTCCTCTCACTCCGCCGCGTTCAAAATCAGCCCCGTGGCTCACGACATCGCCTCCAGCCAGACGTCGGCGTTCACTCCGCAGGCGGGTGGATACGCAGCCGCCCTGGGACACTCGCACGGCGGCCAGGTGGGCTCGTACGGCGGAGGAGCGTTCAACTCCACTCGAGACTTTCTGTTCCGGAACCGGGGCGTCGGAGAGTCCGCGGCGCCGAGCGCGCAGCATGGGATCTTTGCAGCCTCGACGGGGAGCCTCCACGGGCCGCCCGGGATCCCCGATAACCCCGGACATTTGTTGTTCCCGGGACTTCACGAGCAGGGGGTCGGCCACGCTCCATCCGGTGGACACGTAGTGAACAGCCAGATGCACCTCGGCCTGCGCGGGGACATTTTCGGCAGACCCGACCCGTACCGGCCGGTGGCGAGTCCCCGGACGGACCCGTACGGGGCGCAGCTGCACAACTACAACCACCCCATCAACATGAACATGGGCATGAACGTCCCCACGCACCACGGTCCGGGGGCCTTCTTCAGGTACATGAGGCAACCCATCAAGCAAGAGCTGTCCTGCAAATGGATCGACGAGAACCAGATGAACCGGCCCAAAAAGACCTGCGACAGGACTTTCAGCACCATGCACGAGATGGTCACGCACGTCTCCATGGAGCACGTCGGCGGGCCCGAGCAGAGCAACCACGTCTGCTACTGGGAGGACTGCCCCAGGGAGGGCAAGTCTTTTAAGGCCAAGTACAAACTCGTCAACCACATCCGCGTGCACACGGGCGAGAAACCGTTCCCGTGCCCGTTCCCCGGATGTGGGAAAATATTCGCCAGGTCGGAAAATTTGAAAATCCACAAAAGAACGCAYACGGGTAAGGAACACACAATTAAATGATGTGTTAATTAACAAGTTAGACATTTTTTAAAAACAGATCCGTGGCCAGGCTGTGCGTAAATGTGTGTGTGAGTGCTCAGCTTGTTGTTTACCAACAAAAACTGCAAAAGTTGTCTCTTGTTTACAAGTTTTAGCAGCTTCCAAATGGGTTTTTCTGCGGATTAAAATAAACTGATTTTGGTCAAACTTTGTTGTGGTGCTAAACCCGCGTCATACTTCGAGATAAGACCAAAAAAAAACTTTTTTATAGTTGATCTGGACTTTTATTTTGTCTCTCTCCTCAAAGTTTCATCAGTTTTATTCAGGTGATCCACTCAGAACTGTGTTTCCAGCAGTCGTCCTGCACGCTGCCCTGTTGATTCATTGTTGACAAGAGCAGACGCACAGATCAGGCCAGTAGTCTGGTTTGCACGGAGGAGCAGGCCTCCTGAATAAATAAAGCCTGACAGAGCAGAGTAGTAGTGGATAATGTAGGTTACCCTGTTATATAATCGTCTGCAGACAATGTCTTAGCTCGGGCTTTTTTTCCCCCCACTTTGCTGTTATCAGGAGGAGGGATGGGGGTTGACTTTGTTTGTGAGAGCCATTTGGGTAACTCGCTGTGTGTGTGTGCGTGTGTGTGTGTTTAAATCCTGCAGGTGAGAAGCCGTTTAAGTGTGAATTTGATGGCTGCGACAGACGCTTCGCCAACAGCAGCGACAGAAAAAAGCACATGCACGTGCACACATCAGACAAGCCATACATCTGCAAAGTGTGCGACAAGTCCTACACACACCCCAGCTCTCTCAGGAAACACATGAAGGTAATTAACGTCTTCATTACTCCTTAAACACATTAACACACACACACACACACACACACACACACACACACACACA